ACAACATTAACTATTCACTGAAAATACTTTTAAGAAAGTATACATGGTGACTGTACATTTGGACTTCATCTGATGGACTACACAGGAATCAGATTGACTACATCTGTGGAAAGAAACAATGGAGGTCATTATCAGCAGTCTGAACCAGAACAAGGACAGACTATAGACAATAGACCATCAACTGCTCATATGCAAGTTCAAATTCAAGGTGAAGATGGTTAAAACAAGTCCACAAGAACCAAATATAATCTCAAGGGTATCCAAATTGAATTTTTAAAAAATCTATTTTAGGAATAACTTTGATACATTGACTGCTAATGACTGAAGACCAGATGAGTTGTAAAATGACATCAAGGATACCATCTAAGAAAAAAAGCAATAGGTCATTCATTCATTCATTACAAAGATAAAGAAGAAAGAAATTACTAAGGGGTCACTATACATTAGAATTGACTCAAGTGACATACAGCAATCTAGTAAAAATAACGGTGATTTTTTTCCTGTACAGATACCCACTTATTACAGCCCCATGTGTTGAAAATCTTTTTCTCTTTTTATGAATTCTGTGGATGCCTTTGTTACAAGCAATTAATCACCTATGTACTGTTCTATTCTGGACTATTATGTGCCATTGGTCTGTTTAGTCATCCTTGCTGAAATCACAGTTTTAATTATTTTAACTTAATACTAAGTCAGGTAATCAGAAGGTGTAAACCCTCCAACTTGACTTTTCTTCTTTAAGATTGTCTTAGTCACTGCAGGTCAATTTAGGGTTTAGGTTATGTGGTAAACTCTGGCTAGCATAACTAAAAAGAAACTATCTTTCTCTCGAACCTGCAAGTCCTAGTGAGACTTAGTTAAGATACGTGCCAGTCAAGACTAGTCTCAAGTGTATAGGTCAGAAACTCTCAAAATAGTAAGTTGTAAAAGAGAAAATTTTCTTATCCCTTTCTCTCATGTAGCTATTGGTAGTTCAGGATCGGTTGCTATGGTGGCTCTATTAAATCAGGGATCCAGGATTCCATTATCTTCTTGCTTCCGTCTTCAGTAAATGACTAAAACCTTATGCTCTGTTGCCTCTTGTTACTGTTTCATTCAACAGGAAGAAGCAAGGGCAAAGGCCCCTGCGCCCTTCTTTCCATTCCAAAGGTTTCATAGGATACCGCTTCTACTTCCTATTGTCTAGTATCAGTCACATGATCATTCCTTACTATAAGTGAGGATAGGGAACACAGTCTTTATTCCACGAATCAGGAGGACCATGTATATGTTAATAAACATGCTAACATTTTTTTCATGTTTTTACTTTGGGTCTTTTTAAAGTATGTAACTTATATAGGAAGGAGAGATCTGATACTAAGGAACAAGAAGGTTCTCCCACAGGATATTTATAGAGCAACATCAGGAGAGAAGTCCTATGGATGATTGGATACAAGAGATTTGAAAGAAAAAGTCCAGCTTGAAAAGAAAGATTCGGGAGCTTATCACTGCTAGTTAAAAGCTTGAGAGGAGATGAGCTGTCCAGGCAGAGGAGAATGACAAGGCCAGGGGCACACCTTCGGGGAGCAATGGAATCTAATGGGTGATTGTTGTTGTTGTTGTTAGGTACCATTGAGTCGGAATCAACTCATAGCTCACCCTCCAGCAGGTTTTCAGAGGCTGTTGTAAATCACATGGCAGGAGATTGCTCATCTTCATAAGAGCAGCTGGTGGATTTGAAACGCATTCCTCAAGGTTGGCTGCACAACTTCTTACCACTAGGCCTTTAGAGCTTTCCGAGGAATGATTAAGCAGGAGAATTCAGCAGAAACTGGAGAGAAAAAAAATAATGAAGCAGTTAGATGAATAAGGAGGACAAGTTTCAAGGAGAGAATGGTCAACAATGTACAGAAGGCAGGGATAAGAAGTAAGGTCAAGAAGTGGTCTTTAAAAAGGGTAAAACTGTGTCATTGTCTTGTTGCAAACACATAAGCCATTTCATATCACTTTCTGGAAGGAGACCTGTGTGACAGATGCCCTCTGCACTTGGAATGGAAGTGTGTAATGCCCACAGGAAGGCTGGGATGGTCAGTGTGGGCTCAGGGCCCAGGAAGACACATACCTCCCAGAGAGGGACCAGCTGCTGCCACCACATGGAAAAACCTTGTGATATTATGTTAAGCAAAATGAGCTATACATGAAAGAAAACACAATACGATTTTGTTTAAGGAGCACTGGAATAGGAATAATTACTCGCTGGTGACAAAATAAAAAATAGAGGTTACCTGTGGGACAGTGTAAAGAGCCCTGTTGGTGCAGTGGTTAAGCACTTGCCTGCTAACCAGGGCATCAGTAGTTCAAATTCACCACGAGGCGCTTCACAGGACAGGCCTGGAGGCAAGGCCTCTGAGAGCCTGGAAAACCCTAGCAAGTTCTCCATGAATTTGAAATCTGCTTGCCAGTCACTGGTTTTATTAGGTTTGGTTTTATAGGTAATTAGGTAATAATATTAGAAAACTACCACTCAGAAGTCGTACATAGAGAAGAATATGGAATATCTCATGGACTGCCAAAATAACAAACAGGTATGTTTTGGAGAAATTTAAGAGGGTTCCTTAGAGACAAGGATGGGGAAACTCCATCTCACATACTTGGGCATATTGCTAAACGTGGCCATTAGTTGGAAAGGGATATCCTGTTTGGAAGGGTGGAGGGTCAATGAAAGAGAGAAAGATCCTCAAAGAGATGGATCGACACAGTGCCTGCAGCAATCGGCTCAGGAATGTCAGAGATGATGAGGGTGGGACAGGATAGGGCAGGCTCAGATCTGTTCTTCTTGGATGGCTTAGTCATACTTGACACAATGGCACCTAACGGCAGCAGCAACAACATCATCATTTTATCACTTTTTTTCCCTTTGGATAGTTAAAAAAAACACGCAGCTTTTATATAGGAAGGAGCCTTGGTGATATGTTATGTGTTGGGCTGCTAATGGCAAGAATAGCAGTCCAAATTCATCCTTTGACAAAAATAGACAATCATCCTCCTTTAAAAGTCAGCAATCTTGGAAAACAAATGCAAGGTTACCATGAGTTGAAACTGACTCAACAGTCCTGAGTTTTAGGGAATGGGCTGTATACAGTGCAGTGCATACATCTTGAGTGTACAGTTTGATTAAGGTGTACATATCCTCCAGTTATGTAACTATTATCCAATTCAAGATGGAGTCCATTGCCGTTGCCTCAGAAGGGTCTCTATGCTACTTTGCAATTAATACCAACCCTTACCATTGCCATCAAGTTGATGCCAACTCATATCAATCCCTATAGGAGAGATTAGAACTTGCCTCGTAGTATTTCCAAGGCTGAACATCTCTATGGAAGTAGAGTGTGACATTTTTCTCCCATGGAGAGCCTGATCATTGGTATTACGCAGGAACTCTTAATTCTCCACACTGCACTATATAACTAGATGTATATTTGAAATTAGGAAAGCGAGAGCAACAATTCTTTAATCAAAATGGAACTCATCCACAGGAGATGATGGGAGCTCGGAGCACTAGCCCAGCCTCTCTGCTCATCCCTCAGGTGCAGCTGTCAGCAATGAGAAATCAAAATGTCCCCGTGGAGACAAGGAACTCTTTATTGTGACTGTGTCTACTGACTGCTTAAAAAGGGGGTTGTCTTGCGGCTTCTTTGAAGATCAGCTTGAATGAGTCTCTGGCTGAGAGAGGTTTCATTTCTCCGCAGAAAGCCAGGCTGGAAGCGCCATCATCCTGGGACAACTGTCTTTGGAAGACAGATCCTTGGCCTCAGCTCTGAGTGGCCACTACTCTGGATATTCCCATAGGGGAAGGAAAAAGAAAGAATTTAAAGGGGAATGTGGGGGAAAGAGGAAGTAAAAGGAGCAAAAATGCATGATGTAGGCTCCCTGCTGTTGTGTCAACAGCCTCCTTGGGTCTGCGCAGAGCTGCACCTCCCACGCGGTCAGAGCTCACACTGAGGAGCTCGGGAGCCAGAGTGGTGCAGTGGAAAGTGGTTCTAAACCCGGACTTTCCATCTATACGACTGGTTAGAGACTGCGCCTCAGTTTCCACGCCTTCTGCCCCGGTCTGCGGTCAGAGACCCCAGTGTCACTTTTCAAGAGGGCGTTGGAAGATTGAGTATCTAACTTTTAAATTATTCAACCTTAACTGCTTTACATTGGAATAACCCCGTGTGATCGGTGGTTGGGGCTCTCCTCTGGCTTGGCGAGGGGGGTTATTCATGGCCACGCTTGTCGCGCCAGGTAGCTGGTCAGTGTGGACGCTTCGAGGCACGAGTCCAACGTGTCTGCACAGCAGCTTCTTCCGCTAATAAATTGGTCCCAGCGCGCTTTAATTCAGACTCCTTGAAGTCAGGATAGAAGCACAAAGAAAGGATTCCTAAACTCGGACTAAACTAGTTCTCACGCCAGGCCTGCGCCCCGCGTCTGCTCGGCCCTGTGGGCCCACAATTTGGGGACAAGGGACACTCGGAGCCGAGTCACTCCTGGTCGCCCACACCCTCGTTTCTCGCAGTTATCCGGGAGACCCAGCATTTCCACGTCCGTTTCACAGACGAGGAACCGGGGGCTCTCGGAGGTCAGCGCACATGGCGGGGATCCAAGCAGCCGGAGCCCCTGACCCTCCAGTGGCACCAACCAACGACAAGCCACTTCCGTGGGTCGGGTTGTCAGGGCGCTCGTGTAAGTGGCGGGTAAATATTTGGGGCTGTAACCCGGGCTCTGGCGACTCCTTGTCACTGCAGGCGCGTGGCGGGGCGGGGCCTCGGGGACAGCAGCTCCCGCCTCTCGCGGCCCCGCCCCGTCCCGCCCCGCCGGCTATAAGAAGGCAGGACCCGGGGCGTCTGGCGGAGGAGAGCGCGCGGCCAGCCACTGACAGCGCGGGACGTGAGCGAACCCCGAGCAGCGGCCACAGCCCCGTCACCCCGTCCAGACCTAATCTGCCCTGTCCCGGCCCCAACCGACACTTCGCGCACCCCATGAAGCCGCCTGCCACTCAGGGCAGCACAGCAGCTGCCACCGCCGCAGGTGAGTCCCAGGACGCAGATGGGGTGTCCTGAAGTCCAGGCTCTCCAGGTGAGGACCAGGAAAGAGGGAGCCCGGCCCCGAATCCAGGTGGCCCAGTGCCGGCGAAGTCAATGCCCTCCCCATCATAAAAGGCTGGGAGAGAACTCCTCTCCTCACGATAAGCCGACTAGCGGCCTCGCTCCTCTCTCCAAGGCCGGCCTGGGGTGGGGAGCTCGGAGGATTCGCATCTCTCCATGATGGGCTCGTCCCTCTCCCCACAGCAGGCTAGGGGCCTCGTCCCTCTCTCCATGATGGACTCGCCCTTCTCTCCATAGCAGGCCAGGGGCCTCGTCCCTCTCCCCACGGTGTGCTCGCCCCTTCCCCATGGTGGGCCCGCTCCCCTCCCCATGGAGGGCTAGGGGCCGCGCGACAACACGGAAGGGACGGGCCCTGACTCAGTTTACCCAGCGTCCCGGGTTCGCGCGCTCCGTCACGGGGAGAGTGTGCGTGGGCACAGGGAGCCGACGCGCTGCGCGGGAAGTGTTGTGTGTTAGCTGGGTGACCTTTGGTCGGCACGTTCACTAGCTCGGTTTTCTTATCTGTGGAGAGGGTGGCGGCGCTGGGGGGAGTGGTTGAGATGAAAAGGCACCTGGCGGCGGAGGAGCGGGGCTCTCGGCTGCGCTGGCGCGTCGTCGTCCGGGGCCCGCGGCCCCTCGCCCGCGCCTGCCCGAGCCCCTGTCCTGTCCCCAGCCCCGGCCCTGGACTCGGCGGCCGCCGCGGACCTGACCGACGCGCTGTGCGAGTTTGATGCGGTGCTGGCGGACTTCTCGTCGCCCTTCCACGAGCGCCACTTCCACTACGAGGAGCACCTGGAGCGCATGAAGCGACGCAGCAGCGCCAGCGTCAGCGACAGCAGTGGCTTCAGTGACTCGGAGAGTAAGTGGGGGCCTTGTCCTGTCGGTGCTGGGGTGCCCAGCCCAGCCCTATAGCTCCGCGGGGTGAGGTTCGATCTCGTGTACACAGGGAGACTACACTTAACGACCTGGCGTGTTTAGGCTCAGGACTCAGTTTGCACATCTGGAGGCCCAGCAGAGTAAGCCCCCGGGGCTCTGCACAGTCTCCAGGACCGGAAAGACCAGGATTGAAGGCCCTGCCCAGCCATGAGTAGTCACGGGATTGCTCTAGGAGGTCGTGGGTCCTCTACCTGCCTCCCTTCAGGTTTGGTGGTTTCCGCAGTTGGCTGACTCACAGCAAGACAGGACTTCAGGGACCCCAACGGCCAGTCTCCTTTCTCTCCTCTCTCTCAACTTTTCAACACTCACTTCCAGAGATGGGGCGGGGACAAGCCATGGGAGGGCACAATACTCAGACATTTCTGAAACCAGAAAAGTTTTCCCAAACTCCTGTTCTTGGGATTTTTGAAGTAACTGCTTGTATTTTCGCCTCCTGGCCTTGAGCTCTCACAGAGTTTGTAAAGCTGTCTGGTCTGCTGAGTCCAAGTATTGTCGGGGTGTCCTTCTCCCTGTGTGCACCCTGTCACAGGCTTTGACCCCCTGCCCAGGCCAGAGGGGAGTCTGAAAGCAGAGAGGCTAAATGAGGAGTGGCTGGGGTGGACCCTTGGTGACCTATCTCATAATTAAGGCTGCCCCAGGGAACCTGCCCTAAAAAACCTTAGAAGAAAAGTGACATCATTTTCAAGGAGCTCAAATTTCCTGTAAGGATTTATGACCATATATACCCGTTACAGTGTCAAACAGCAAATATGATGACTTTAGTAATTTTTCTTATTTGATATTATTATTTTATTTAATATATCATTATTGCCCTTCAAATCCTGGGTTATTGTTAAAACACCATATTAAAGTCATCTGGGTTGTTCTTGACACTTTAATCCTTAGGATTTTCCAAGCATGAATGTCCTACCCTGTCTCTGGAATTCTCTGGATGGTACTGAGTTGCTAGCTGAGAGTTTGGATGCTCAAGATTGTCCAGATGGGTCTTGGAAGAAAGGTCTGGTTATTGATTTTTAGAATTCTGGGAAGCGCAGATCTGCCCAGACATAGATGAGGTCTCCTGAGTTGAAGTCACCTCAGTGACATCTGGTTGACTGCTTTCTTGTGACTCTCTTGTTTTGAAATCTTGAGCTCTTTCTTTTCCTTCTGAAAAGGGATAAAGTTCACTTGCCACTAGGCTCAGGATTTGAGGCAGAAACCTGACATTTCTTGGCAGCTCTGCCTGCGGGTTGGACAGAATTACAGCTTTTGAGGTGAAAGGGAATGGAATCATTGCTGTAAATTTTTTTGTTTTGAATTTTTGGGCTTGGTTGGTGAAGACCACATATTAAATCCTTAGCAGTAATTTACTTTTAAAATTTGCTTTCAAAGGGAACTCTTACAGGCTTTTGAAATTTGTCTCAATATCTATGGCCAAATTTAAGTATGTCTCTTTCTACTGGGGGCCGGGAGCAAGTTGTTCATAAAATGGAAATTTGCTCCCACATGGGAAAGAAAGCAGGGATGGTATGCCCAGTGCCACTCTGTGGCAAAAACCAGCTCCTTTCTAAGTCACAGCAGGACTCAGCTAGATTACAGCGGGAGTTTGCCCATTCATGGGTGATGGCAATGTCATTGGAGTGGGACTTCAGATCTGAGATGCTTTTTCAGGGTCCTCAAAGAAAAGGCTCTAGAAACAGTCTTATTAGTTTGAGTGTGTTTGTGTGTGTGTGTGTGTGTGTGTGTGTGTCCATTTCTAATAGGTTGGGCTTGGGGGTTTTTAAGTCTTTCTCAGGACACGTGTGTGCTTGGCTTTCTGGTTTTGTTGACTCGTTCACTTTACATCACAACTTAATTTAGTAGAAAAATAATAAGTGGAGGATTGGTTGAGGTATAACGAAGGTTTAAGATAACATTAAAATACCTAAAATCTAACCAGTTTATATTGGGTTGTCTCTAACCTTTACTGACCCCAGGAATGTCAGAGTAGAACTGTACTTTATAGGGTTTTCAGATAGATCACCAGGCCTTTCTTCTGAAGTGTTTGTGTGTGGATATGAATCTTCAACTTTCAGTTAGAAAGTTAGAGCATGTTAACTGTTTGCAACTGTTTGATGACACTACTCTTTGTTATACATGTGTTTGGTGCCCTGCAAAATTAATTAGAAATGGTCTTGGCAAGATCTATGTGAGTCTAAATAGTAGTTTCTTAAGTAATACTTGCTGCCAAGAATTAAGACATTTGTTATACCCACTTATCTGTTTAATGCTGTCCCATCAAGATAGTTATCTGATATGCTGTCTTCCACAGTCCTGTTGTTATGTACTATGGAGTCACAACAGACTCATAGCTGACCCTGCAGCAAGTTTTCAGAGGCTATAAATTGCACAGGAGGAGACTGCCCATCTTTCTCCAACAGAGCAGCTACAGTGAGCATAACTCCTTACCTTTAGGTGACCACAGTTCTTTTTTAAACTCTTATTATTATTACTGATCTCTTTGCTATATGCTTTGAATATGTTATCTCATATGATCTCTCTCACAACCCTAGGTGCTGCTCTGTCTGGCTGGGGAGTCACTGAGAATGGAACCCAAATTGAGCCATGGGAAACAGGCTAGTTAGGAAGCCAAGGATGCACTAGAATTCCAAGGGGGTGACAAGTCTCACTCTGACAGATGCCTGGCAGTGTGTCCAGGGGGACCACACAGTTCCAGGAGGGCAGCTGGGTAGAAGTAGTGAAATTGTTCTATCCCACTTTAAGCAGGCTGTTAATAGTTACATTTGGAGGAAGAGAACCCTTTCTCCTCAGTTCCCTATGGCAAAAAGAAACAGACCCAAGGCTTTCTTTTTCTCTCTTAATTACTGTGGTTTGCCTGCCCTAGACGTGTGGGGTGGTTCTATATTTACAGGAGCTCTGGGCAAGGTTTACTGTCTATGACTTTTTTTTCTCATTGGAATAGCCCATGCCAGTGCTAACCCTAGATTACCTTTCTCTCCACCCTGCAAACTGAAAAAAGCTCACTTACCTTTTAAAGGAGGTTCTGTTTTCACAGGTGAGTTCTCAGGTTCTGCTTGTATCTTACAAGCTAGGTGGCTGTGCAGGTAATCTCTAGGTTATGGACATATGACTAGTGTTATATAAAATTGCCCCCACCTTGACGCAATTGAAACATCTCCTACTATCAACAATTTATCTATCACAGTCACCTTCACTTGTTGAGTGTACTGCATTTAAATCATGAAAGTCATCATACTTTTTCTTACACTAAAGTAAGATGCCTGTTACCTACAAATGAGGGGGCACTGGTGGCCTACTTCCACCAAGGCCTCCTGTATGACTTACAGCCTCCGAAAAACATACTGGAAGTTCAGCTTTGAGTTGTTTACAAACAGAAATGAGTTGTGAGGTTGTTTTGTGTTGACCTACAAATGAGACTTAAAGGGTCTCCTTTGTAACCCCGTGACTCCCTGTATATTTAATATGCTTACATTTCTTTGCTGGTATCTTAGCTAACATGGTCTCTGAGATTGGGAGTTCCTGGCTTAGACGCATTAAGGTGGTTTTAAAAAAGGCAGATTTCAGGTGGCTTTGAGATACTGTGAGGAGGAGCTTCAGAGCTGATTGAAGTCGCTGGTGTAAGGCTGTAAACATCCAGCTTTATGAATCCATTAAGTCCCTCTCAGTAGCAACCGTTGGTACCCGGGAGAGGCAATAGATGAATATATTATTAACCAGTGACACCTTGTCATTTTATCACTAACTGACTGTTATTTTGCAAGGAGCAGAGTTCCAGGGCAGTGAAAAGAACAGGAAGTTGAGCCTTGCATAGCTTTTCATCTGCCACACATCTAGCATAAGGCCTTATTTATTGTGAGTGTTTAATAAAAGTCTGTGGAATGACGTGTTATCAGGAAAGGGTAGAGAGGAGGAGCTCCTCTGAGGTCTCTGTTGGTGGCTTGCTCATGGGAGGTTTCTTCTAGGTCTCCTGTGATGATCACTTTTTCCTGAACAACTTGCTGCCAGCTGCAGCAGAGAAGGAAGTCAGGGCCCAAGCTCTTGCTGTCTTTTTATTCTCTGTGATGACATCTCTTCTCCTGGGCATTCAGTTCTCTATTTTGCCAGTAATTTTGTTGTTCTTGTGCCATTGAGTTGCCCACAACTCATAGTGATCCTATGCACAATAGTTCTGAACCCTGCCCTGTCCTGAGCCAGTTTCACTAACTCCAACACATCTACCCTGATTACCCTAGTTACTGTATCAATCCATCTCATCTGAGGTCTTCCTCTTTTGCACTGTCCCTTCACCCTTCAGAGAATGATGTCCTTCTCTAAGGACCGGTCCCTCCTGGCCACATGCCCTAAGTATGTGAGTCAGAGCTTCAAAATAACTAGCTTCGAAGGAGAAACTTCACCCTCTCCAAGACAGACCTATTTGTTTCCTGGCTGTCCATGATATGTTTAAGACTCAATTCCAGCATCACAATTCAAAGGCATCAATTCTTCTTCTGTCATCTTTAGTCATTGTCTAGCTCTCTGATGCATAGAGAGAACTTTAGAACAAAATAATCTAAAATCATATATATCAGACACGAGCACTTGAGCTATTAACCTCTTAGGCTCAGAGTAACCGGTCACTCAGCTTTCCCCTGGCCTCTGTGCTGCGTGTTTCCTCTATAGTGGTGGCTTCTACTGGGCCCAGCTTACTTTGGGGTTCTTCGGGCAATTTTGATCTTTTTTTTTTCCTAGCAAAAATGGCATATGCAGAGCATTACCAAAGGGTGGAGTTAAACTGTGGGTGGGTTTGACTCAAGTACTGGAAAAGCCCTCTTGAGGGTTGGAAATTTTGGAGCCCATATTCTGGTCTGGCCTAGATGATTCATGATCTCTTTTAAGAGAGCAAAGGTGTGGCAGTGTGCCAGTGTGTGAACTTGTGTGTGCGTGTGTGTGTGTGTGTTGGTTGGGATGGAGGAGTGAACACGTGCTATGTTAACCTAACTCTCTCTCTGTGTGCAACGCTGTAACTGGTAATTCCCCCACCCCTTCCTCTTCCTGTGGGAGTCAGGAGCTCTGGTGGTCTAGTCCATAGTGTACTGTGATGCTAGTACAAAGGACGTGCCTCTCTGGCATTTCGAGTCCACAGCCACTCAGTGGGAGAAAGATGAGCATTCTCCTCCCACACAATTTAAGGCATCTGAAAACCTACCAAATGGTCAACTATGAATGAGTCAGTCTGGACAGGGAGTGGTGGGAGAAGCCCGAGTTCATTTGCAGTAGGGGACAACTTCTGATCATTTTACTACTTTATGACTCAGTTTATAATTTTGTCTGTATGAATTTGAGGAAATACTTGTATCCAGAGATATTTGGCCTACTGACTAGATTCTGGGAAGAAAAAGTAAGTCATGCAGATGTGCTAGAGTTATGGCTCATCCTAGGGGACACTGGTGGCCCGGTGGTGAGAAGCTGTGCTGCAATCCTGAAAGCACACAGTTCAAATCCACTGTCTGTTCTGTGGGACAAGGATAGGCAGTCTTGTTTTGTGCAATTAACTGCCTTGGACAACCCACGGGAGAGTCAGCTATGGGTCAATTCTGACTCAATGGTGCACAACGACATGACTCATTCACTACTGAATACCCCAAAACTGAATGAGTTACTGTGAGCTTTTCTAGAAAATGGAATAACTTTTGGTCTTCCAGATCCCAAGAAAATCCAGTTGTGATTTGTTGTTGTTGTTGACCTCCCAAAGGCTGGGTATGTGTGGACATGAGACCACTGGCCCACAGAGGTGGCTACATTGAGTTGAAGGCCAGAGTCTTGGGAAGGGCCTGTGGTGTGGGGTGGGGTGGGGTTGGAGTGAGCGGTGTGATACTGGATTTTGAGGACAAGCTGCTTTTGACTGATAGAGACTGGGGGTGTGGCCACTGTGATCAGGTCCCCTGCGTGTGGAGATGGGTGATGCTCCCGAGTGCCCTGCAGGGCCAAGGATAATATTCCAAAGGTCTTGTGTTCCTTCCTTCCTTCTGGCTCAGGCGTCTGGGCACAAGGCCGCCTTCCTAGTACCACATGTGACTGTCTGCCTCTGAGTCTGACGTCACCCAATGCCAACACATTTCTCAGGTTAGATTAAGGGCACTGTGGCTCTCGCATGGTGACAGTCATTTTCCACTGTAGGTCTGCAATGCACATGGCATTTTCTTGTATACAGAGAAAGGCTTTCCTGTGAGAAAAATTGAGATTCTTCAGAGGCAAGCTCAGAAGGTTTTCCCTAATTGTGTGCCACAGAAAGAGCATCCTAAGACATTTTACCAGGGATAACAGGAGTACACAAACACACAGTATCTCACTTTTATGCAAATTTAATAAATGGGGTAAACTGGTTTCTTTATTATAAGAGAGATATTATACAGGGCCTCTTTGTTATGAGATGCACAAAGAGGTTGCAAGGGGACTGTGTGAGGAAACCATGACGTTGATTGCCATGAGCTTTGTGCCAGGCTGAGTCTCAGAGGAAGGAGAGGTTGGGAGCACTGGCCAGTCAGGGAGGATCAGGGCATGTACGGAAAGTGGAGGAAACAGGCCAGTAGGCCAGGAAGACAAGGTGGCTGCTGGGGAGGCCCCCTTGCCAGAGAGAGAGGTATTGGAGGAGTCATTGAGCCTCTTAGGGCTGACGCTACAGTTCCTTAGGACCAGGAACTTTTGTTTCGCAAGAAGCCCTAGTTCTCTAGCAACTGGACCTATCTTTTGTAACTTAGCTCATTTTGAGTGAAGAAGACCAAAGAAGAAAGTAAGAGGATCCCCAAAAGGAGAGAGGCTATCGCGCTCATTATTGAGCTGTGCTTGCTCACCTGAGGAGCCTTTCCGGTGCTCATCTCAGTCACACAGCGGCTGGCATTGTGTTTTGTTTTCACCAGGAAGACTGTTCCCTCACGACCTCAGTGGCCACATCCTGCTTCCGCTGCCTACTCTTCCTTTGAGCCGATGTTGATGTCGCTCTGGTGGCAGCTCCTGGCTGTGTCACGACACATGGCAGGACTTAAAGAAATAGAACCCAGAATTTCAGAGCTATATAGAACTTTAAGGGCTCTTTAAACTGGTGAAGATATTAATGACTTCCTCAAAGGCACCAAGTACCCACTAGCTGTTCCAGTTCTCTTGACTCTCAAGTCAAAGCTGCTTCTGGAATTTTCTCTTTGTGTTGCCTTGGTTTTTAGGGGTGTGAAAAATGGGGGGATCACAAAAATCACCTGAAGTATCTCTGGCATAGACTGAGCCTCAGGCTTATTCCGGAAGTGTAAGTTTAAGGAAAGTGTTGGAGGATCCAGGACAAAGGCTCCCTTAAGCAACTGAGGAGGGTTGAGTCATGGGATCAAACTTTGGGTCTGTATTTTGGGAAATTCAGAGGGCAAAATGGACTTTTTTTTTTTAATTAATTTTAATGAAAGTTTATAGAGACTTGGGTTTCCAGTCATTCATTGTTGCACTTTTCTCCCTACCCACCCCCTTCCCCCAATTCACTCTTCTCCTTGAAAAGAAAAAGAAAAATTCTTTCATTGTTATGCAATCCCTCCCTCAAGTCACCTTCACTCTAGACTTCTGTAATGACAAGACTACCCATTCATATGTCCCTTTTAAAAGTTCTCTCTCTCATCTGTTTCAATGCAATATACATCATTCCTCCCCTCCTTTTCTGTCTTCCCTCAACCCTGATGTCAGTCTTGTTTTACAAGAGTGGCCCTATGCAATATTTGTCTTTTTGTGACTGAGATATTTCACTCAGCATAATGTTCTTCAGGGTCATCCATTTTGCATAATATTTCATGAGTTCCTTGTTTTTAAATTCTGTGTAGTAATCCATTGTGTGAATATACCAGAGCTTCTCTATCCATTTGTTTGTTGATGGGCACTTGGGTTGTTCCAAGCCACAGTGAACATGGGTGTGCCTATATCTGCTTGGGTGGCAGTTATGGTTTCTTTAGGGTAAGTTCTGGTCATGGCGATCCCAGCATGCCATGATTGTTTTAGGGACCACGCTTGGATGTACCTCATTTGAGACCCCCACACTGACATGCTCACTCCTCAGCCTCAAATAATTTTGGAGCAGAAAATAGAAAATCAACTCATTCCCTTTTATCTAGATTGATAATGTTTGCTTCTTTTGAAGACGAGTTGGTTATTAGTAGACTGTAGCCTGAAAACCATTTCTAATGAGCAACCATTTCTTTCCTGGAAGGTGCAGATTCACTCTGTAGAAACAGCTTCAGCTTCAGCGACGAGAAGCTGAATTCTCCAACAGACTCCACCCCCGCCCTGCTCTCTCCTGCCGTCATGCCTCGGAAGGGTGAGTCCCTCAGGTGGAGGTGGGCTTTCTGGCTTCTCAACCGCTCTCCTTGTCCCCTTACCTCTAGCCAGTCTTTACCAAAGTTGCAAAACAAATAGATGATTGTGAAAAACAATGTAGGCAAACTTGGTAAATAAATCAGAGTAATATAAAAAAAAACCACCCCAACATTAAAATGACCAACCAATCAACCAACCAAACAAACAAACAAAACCCACAAACAAATAGACAAATGTTCAGCAGGGAGCTCTAGTGGCCTAGTGAGTAATGAGTTGTGCTGCCAACCTAAAGGTGAGGGTTCTAATCCACTCTGCGGGAGAAAGATAACAATCTCCTCCTGTGTGATTTATGGCTTCTGAAACCCTGCTGGAGGGTCACCTAGGAGTCAGCTCTACTCAATGGCACATAAAAGCAATGACAGCATTTCACTCTGGGGACATCTGGTGTAGGGGCAGATGGTTCAAGTGCTCAGACACCAGAAAGGTGATGGATGGAGTCCACCAGGCCTCTCCTAAGGAACACCCACCCCTGTGACCACCACCTGAAAGATCATCATGGAAAACCCTGTGGTTCTGCCCTGACACATGAGAGTGAGAACAGACTCAACGCCGACTGGAGCATCTTATCACAGGACAGCGTGGAGCAGAACCTGCTCTTTCTCAGGATTCAGAGCTGTGTGACAGTTAAATCAGAGCAGAAACCTCAAATTCACATGAAGACAGAAGAGCTGAGAGACTCTAGGTTCTGTTCTGAGCGTTCTAGTCAAGACCGTGCACCCTGGAACACTGCTGTTTGTGAGTCTTCCTCTGGATGCCTGACTCTAGAATTTCTGGCCCAGCAGCTAGATTGGGTGGAAGGTGGGACTCCTTTTATTGCATTAATTATGCAATCCATGTTTTCATGTTACAGAGTTAGCAATTAAATGGGATCTTTCTTATTAAACAAGAGATGATTTAACATGATTCAAAATAGCCTGTCTGCACTGTGGTATTTATAGTCCTAAGAAGTTTTTTAAGATGCATGAGCAGTTTTTTATTTTTCAGAACTCGTAGGGTGTCTCCAACTAGAGAGCTGAATGTTCTATTATATAGGACAAGTGCCCTTTTGAAAACAAAAGGAGTTTTTTTCCTTAAGAAAAGGTTATACTTGCTGAAAATGGTCACTGAATGCAAAATTGGAGCTTAGATTTTGTTTTGGTTTGTTTTCTAAATGAAGACTCCATTCTTTCCTGGCTTGGGCATCAAGGCGGAATGTTGTTAGTTTTCAAAAGAGACATTTTTAAATTCTCGGCCACATTTTAAAAGTCCGTGGCCACTGGGGACTCTGCCAGTATCCAGCCCTCAGTCAGCTGTAATGGATCTGTGGAATTTAGAGAGACAGAGCCATCTAGAAAGTGGCTTAGCATGCACCCAGATTTGCTACCTGATCCTCAAGAGGTGGACATTAAAGAAGGAGGAAAAAACCCCTAGTGCCAAATTGACTTGAAAAGCTAAGAACAATGAGGCACTTGTAGCTGGCAGGGGTGAATTAATGGAAGTCTCTAGTATTGCATTTCAGCAGGAGCCCTGGTGGCACAGTGGTTAAGCGCTCGGTTGCTGATCCAAAGGTCAGTGATTTGAATGCTGGTTTCTCTGCTGGAGAGAGATGCAGCTATCTGCAGCATAAAGATCACAGCTTTGGGAACTGTGGGGCAGTACTTTGCCCAACAGGTTCATTGTGAGCTAGGCTTGGCTCTTGGCAGTGGGTAAATGAATTTCAGAGAAGGCATGGTGCCGTCATGATTTCTGAGTGATGAAAATCCTGCACCATCAAAAAACCCAAACTCTTTGTCTCTCCTTCCCTCTTGCCTAACTTTTAAGGCAGCAAAGGGAGATTCCTTGAGCAATAGATGAATTGTGGTTAGGATGAACCCAAAACCAAGAAGGAAGGATTTAGGCCAGTCTTCAAGTTTCTGTAAAGAATGTAGCATTGATGCATCAGTGGTAGAATTCGTACCTCTCATGCTGGAGACCTGGGTTTGATTCCCAGCCACCACTCATACGTCAGTGGAGGCCTGTGTGGTGCTTATGATGTTGAATGAGTTTCAGAAGATCTTCCAGATTAAGGCAGACTAGGAAGAGAGATCAGCTTGTCTATTTTGAAAATCGGATAGTAAAAATTCTGTAGATCTTTATAGTTTCATCTGCAACCAATTATGAGACTAGCACAGGATCAGGCAGTGTTCCATAGTGCACAGGGTGCTCAGAAGACAAGCTTGACAGCTAACGACAATAACAAGTTCTGGAGCAGACTCTAGAGTTTGGACTGCATGCCCTTCACAGACTTTATGAGGGTGGTTTGCACATTCTACTTCAGCTGTGGGAGTCATTAACTGTCTTTGACATAGTACACTAAACTCTATGTCTTGTTTTACAGCCAAACTAGGAGACACGAAAGAATTAGAAGACTTTATTGCTGATCTTGACAGAACATTAGCAAGTGAGTACATGCCTGCTTATTAAAAAAGTTAAAGAGAAAACTAACCGGCATCTCTGATAAAATGCTATAATGTTTACAAGTTTGCCCAGGCAGAAAGTCACATCACAAGGCTTCCTAAGGTTTCGTTGAGTTCAGAAACATGACCCTAGTGCCTTAGAGAAATTCTGAAGATAAATTTTCATTAGTCAGTGTACCTTCCTAACAGAGAGAACAGGCTACTGGCAAACAATGGTGTTTTGTTTGAGAAGTGGAGAGAGAAGTAGTGACAGCAAGACTGGAGCTTTTCCACTGTGGCCCTGCCAGATTTCTGGAGAAGAAATGAGCTGATTGACCGTACAAGTGTCGGGCTGACACTTGAGACTCCATCCCACAGGCCAGATGAATCTTCCTACATTATATCCAGGGGCTTGATGAGCTCTGTGTTCTAGAAGGATGGGCCTTGATAGAAGCATTTGGCTTGGGGAAACCCTCTAACCAAAGACCTATGCCAATGACTAAATTACCTCTATTAAACACTGGCTACCTTGCTTTTTGTTTGTTTATTGATACTTCATGTATCATTAAAATTATCATTAGCATCACAATATGACCAAAAACTTGATCCTGACAACTAAAGACATCAGATCATAACTTCTGTGGAAAGTCTAGTCTCATTTAGAAGGAAGCTTGAAATTTTATACACCTTCTTCTGTAGGACAACGTTACAAGACCAGTACACCAGCTCAGACTTCTCAAATGGAAGTTTTCACAGCTATATTTACTATTGGGGTTTAGGGTGCAAGGTCAAGGAAGTCTTGTTCATTTACCAAATGGGCCTAAAGAATTTTGTCCCAGCTTTTCGTTTACTGGTAAAAGTGTTTTGTCTAGGAAGAATTTCATGCTGTTATTGTTAGGTGCCACCAAGTTAATTACAACACATAGTGACCCTATGAACAGCTTTTGCTAAATAGGTTATCTCTGATAAGGAGCAGTGCTGTCAACCTAATGGCAAGCAGTTTGAATCCACCAGCTGCTCCTCAGAAGAAATATGGCCAATCTCTTCCCTTTTACATCCTCTGAAAACATACTGGATGCTTAGTTATGAGTCGATTGTGACTCGACAACGTGTAACAACAATAAAAACAACTAGCTAAATAGCTGAGTAAAATTAGGAGAAAAGGAGTGAAAACAGACCCATAGTGGGTCACTTAGATCCAAATACGAGGAAGAAAGCCCATTTCTATTTATGTAAATATGTGATTGTCCGTTTTCACACATGCTGTACCATCAGAAGAGTAAGGCTTGTTTTGACAGAGGCAGTTGTAATTATAGCACAGTTTGTATGAGAGCCATCTACCAAGCCTGTTTCATGGAAATCACAGATGGCTGCCCTGTCATGTGGAAGCCTGCCATCAAAGTGGGTGCTCTGAGGTACTGTGATCTGGTGAACCGTGGGATTTGTGATCTAAGTAGGTAATCTTACTTATCTCCTCTTTTACAGGTATGTGAAACAAGGAAGGGCTCTGGGTCCTTTCTCTTCTAAGGCAGAAGCTTCTGAAAGCTCTGAGGACCTGGTAAAACCAACTACTGGAATCTGCTGCAAAATGGACAGAGATGAGACTCGGCTGCCCACAAGCCCTCAGACGAGCTTGCCTGTGGATCATCTCTGGACACATTAGATGATGAAAATGACTTTGTTTATCTCTCTACTTGCAGTGTATTATAAGAGAAGACTCCTGCTAATATTGTATTTTCTCTTAAAACATAGCTCTCCTGTAATTTAAAGTGCTTTTGTGAAAAGATTTGTAATTAATTATATATAGTTGAAACAGTAATATGCCTTTCTCATTATAATATATTTTTGTATATGAATAAAACCTCAAACTGGAGCCAGAGTTTTTTTAAAGCTTGCTTTTATTTCTATAATTTCTTTCTCTTTCAGTGTATGTATTTACATTCAGCTTATATTTGAATGGAAATAATATACCTTTGGAATCTTAGCAAGGATTCTGGGTGCTGCTTAATTGTACTAGATAATAAGGTAATGCACTAGCTGTTGAGCATTGGCTGTTCTGTGGTAGAATTCTTGCTTCTCATGCCAGAGACCTGGGTTCGATTCCTGGCCAGTACATTGTGTACAACTATCTGTCAGGGAGGTTGCTATGATGTTGAACAGATCTCAGCAAAGCTCAGATGGTCTAGGCAGAAAGAACTGGCACTTTACACTTGAAAATCAATCAATGAAAATCCCATGGGTCCCATGGTCCAATTATGATCATGGGAATGATGGTGCACGATTTGTTGTATTTTGAGTTACTATGAACTGAGGCCAACTTAATGACACACAAAAATAAATTTAAGAACATTTCTTTGAAGCTCAGTTGGTACTCTAGAGAAATTAATGGGACATAGGAATTTGAGAATTCCGGTGTTGAAAAAGGTAAAATTTCTTTTCCATCTCCATCCCCCAGGTGCCATGAAATTTTCCTTGAATTAAAGAAAGTACCTGTTGTAGTCCAAATATAGGGAGTGCTGGTAGCCTAATGGTAAGGAATTATGCTAACTCAAAGCCACATGATTAGAGTCCACCAGTAGTTCAGCTAGAGAAAGATTAGCAATCCCCTCTCATGCGATTTACTGTCTCTGAAAACCCCATGGAAGGTCAGCTATGGCTTTCTTCTGACTCGAGGATACTTAATAACAGTCCAAATCTGAGACTGAAAATCTAGGGAAAGTTGTGGCAGTGGACCTGAGAACAATGGTGCTTTCAGGAGATGTGCAATGCAAAGGGCTTGACAAAAATTGAAATTTTAAGACGTTAATTCTTATGTTCATGGAATCTATTAATGAACCAGGAAGCAGTCATTCAAACAGAACTATGGACTACTGTGTGGTTTTAAATCAGGAAAGGTGTGTGTCGAGACTGTATCCTTTCACCATAATTGTATTCAAGATGCTGAGCAAAGAATTCAAATAGCTGGACTATATGAAGGGGAATGTAGCATCAGTATTGGAGAAAGATTAACAACCTGTAATACACAAATGACACAATCTTGCTGAAAAGAAAAAGGACTTAAAGCACTTACGAAGACTAAAGACTGCTGCTTTCAGTATGGATTACATCTCAACAAGAAAAATCCTCACAACTGGACCAATTTCCACCCTCCCCTCCACCTTGAATCCTCATACTCATTCCACAATAATGGTTTTATATAGTCGTTGCCCTTGTGGGACTAAGTTAGTTCACTCAGTATAATGCTTTTCAGTCCTTCCCAAGTTAGTTAGTAATTTATAAAATGATTGCTCTTGCATGCTGCGTAGTATTCCATTGTATGAATGTACCACAATTTCTCAATCCTTCGTTTGTGGTTGGACATCTGGTCTGTTTGCATGTTCTTGCGATGATGAATAATGCTGCTATGAACATTGGTGTACAAGTTTCCGGTTGAGCCTCAGATCTTATTTTCTTCAGGTATATTCTAAGCAGTGGAATAGTTAGGTCATATGGAATCTCTATGTTCAGCTTTTTGAGGAAGTGCCAAATTGCCTTCCAGAGTAGTTGCACCTTTGTACAATCCCACCAACAATGTAAAAGAGTTCTTATCTCACCACATCCGCTCCAACATTTATGACTTGCTGTCCTGTTAAACTTTGCCACTGCTACTGGAGTGAGATGGTATCTGATTCTGGTTTTGATTTGCATCTATCTTATTGCCAGTGATTTTGAACATTTCTTCATATGTCTGTTGGCTATTTGAATATCTTCCTCTGTGACAATCCTTTCTATGTCTTTTGCCCATTTTGTAATTGAGTTATCATCAGTCTTTATCTTGGGTATGCCCAGGAGTATTCTATAAACTTTCATTATGAGACCTTTGTCTTAGATGCTATTGCCAAATGTTTGTTCCCAGTCAGTAGCTTTTCTTCTCACCCTGCTGGAAAAAGTTTTTGATAAACACAGGGATTTAATCCTTAGAAGGTCCCATTCATCAATTTTATCCTGTTCAGGTTGTCCATTTCTGGCTGTATTTGGCAGTCTCTTTATACCATAGTCTAGGGCTTCTAAGCTTGATCCCAGTTTGTCTCTTATGAACTTTATCATTTTGGGCTTTACTCCCAAGTCTCTTACCCACCTTGAGGTGATTTTCGGGTGTGGTGTGAGATGTGGACCCTGTTTCCACTTTCTGCAAGTAGCAGTTCAGTTTTGCCAGCACCATTTGTTGAAGAGATTGTCATTTCCCCATTTGTTAGGTTTTATTTCCTTGTCGAATATCAGTTGACCATAGATAGCTGGGTCTATTTCTGGGTTCTCAATTCTGTTCTACCTATCTATGGGTCTGTCATTGTACCAGTACCATGCTGTTTTGGTAACTACTGCTGTGTAGTATGCTTTGAGGTCAGGGAGTGCTATACCTCCCTCTTCATTTTTGTTTCTCAGAAGTATTTTGCTTTTTCGGGGTCTCTTGTCTCTCCAAAGAAACTTGACAATTTCCCTTTTGATCTCCCTGAAAAAGGAACTTGGTATTTTTATTGGGATTGCACTGAATATGGAGATTGGCTTGGTAGGATTGTCATTTTCACAATATTGAGTCTTCCTATCCTTGAACAGGGTAACTTTTTCCATTTCTTTAGGTCTTTTATTGTGTCTTGCAGAAATGTTGTATAATTTTCTTTATATAGTTCTTTTGTATCTCTAGTTAGATTTACTCCTATGTATATCAATTTGTGGTTGGCTATTGTAAATGGTATTGTTTTTTTGGTTTCTTTCTCTGAGTTCTCTTTGTTACTGTAGAGGAATCCCTCTGATTTTTGGATATCGATGGGTTATGATTTTTGAGGAACTGCCAAACTATTATACCAGTGGTTGTGTCATTTTATATCTTCACCAGCAAATAAAGATTCCATTCTGTCTACATCTTCACTAACACCTGTCATAGTCTCTTTCTCTCTTTTTTAAACAAAAGGTATTACAGGTCTCATTGTCACCATTGCAACAAATTTACTGTGATGAAAGCAAAACCTGTCTTAATTTAGCCACTCTGGCAATTTCTGGGCACCACTATCCGCAGTGCCCATTTTCATATACAATGCATCTACATAATACTCAATTTATTCATGTACTCTGTTGCTGATAATGCCATGAGCAATTAACAAACAAGTGACTGTTGTTGTTGTTGTTATGTGCCATCGAGTTGCCCACAACTCATAAAGACCTTATGTACAACAGCCTTAAACCCCGCTCTGTCCTGTGCCAGTCTCACTATCTCTGACACACTCATCACCATTATTCTAGTCACTGAATCAATCCACCTCATAGAGGGCCTTCCTTTCCTACGCTGTCCCTCCATCCTCCCAAACGTAACATCCCTCTCCAAGGACTGATCCCTCTTTGCAACATGTCCAAAGTATGTCAGATGAAGCTTCAGAATCCTTGTCTCCAAGGAGCAGTCCAGTTTAACCTTCTTCAGGATGAACCGGTTCATTTTCTTAGCAGTCCATGGTATAGTCAATACTCTTCTCTAGCACTATAGCTCAAAGACATCAATTCTGTTTCTATCATCCCTAGTCATTGTCCAGCTCTCTGATGCATAGCAAGTGATTGCAAAGACCATGGCCTGTATCAGGCACATTTTAGTCTCCATACTGCCATTGTTGCTCTTCAGTCCTTTAGAGGGGTCCCTAATAGCAGACTTTCCCATCAGAGTATGTCTTTTAATTTTCTGGCTGCTGGTGCCAAGCAAACTAAAGCTGTGAACAATCTCAATCTCTTCACCATCCATCCTGATGCTGTCAATTGGCGCAGTGTTTAGAATCTTTGTCTTCTTGACATTGAGCCTCAATCGATACTGAAGGCTGCAGTCCTTGACCTTCTGCAGCAAGCGCTTCAGGTCCTTCTGTTTCAGCAAGCAGGGTTGTGTCATCTGCAAAACACAGACTGTTGATGCATCTTCCACCAATCCTGATGCCACACTTCTCCTCATAGAGTCCAGACTCCCAGATAATCTGTTCTGCATATAGGTTGAAAAGATTTGGAGACAGGACACATCCCTAGCATACACCCTTCCCAATTTTGAACCATGAAGTATTTCCTTCCTCTGTTCTGAAGACTGACTCCTGGTCCAAGTATAGGTTTCACATTAGCAGGATCATGTGTTCTGGGATTCCCATTCTTCTCCGAGTTAGCCAGAGTTTGTTGTGATCCACACAGTCCAAATGCGTTTGTATAATCAATGAAACACAGATAGACATTCCTCTGGTACTCCCTGCTTTCAGCCAAGATCCAGCTAACATTACCTACAATATATTTTAGGATGCCAGTACTTTCTGCTTCTTTGTTTTAGTGACCCTAGAAAAAGAAAAGTAGTTCCTAATAAACATCGTCTCTTTTTTTATCTTAGCTATCCTTGTGGGTTTGAAGTGATATCTTTTTATGGTTTAGACTTCCATTTCCCTAATGACTAATGATGTTGAGCATCTTCTCAAGTGATTACAAAACATTCATGTGAGATATATATATACATATTTAGATATTTATTTGTTGTAATAGTTTATATTTTCTGTAAATTAGACTCTTACACGATACACTATTTACAAATGTTTTCCTCAGTTCGTGGGCTGTTTACTTACTATTTTTTTAAATTGGTTTTCAATAATTTGTATACATTTTGTTCACTTTTTG